AGGGAGTGCTTATATTAGATTTTTAACGTGATTTTCTTTGAACGCATTCTCTAGAAAAGTTTTGTACTCCCAAGTTGGACCAAATTGAGTTCTCTGTTATTCCAAAGCTCATGCGACAATCATGTTATTCTATTTCTGTCAGTATTACCTCATGAAACAAAATGCTATACTTTTCCAAACTCCAGGGGATGGTTTCATCCATGTTTACAGCCAGATTTCTGAATCTACTGAGTTAGATAATTAATGCGGAATGCATATAAGTTCCACCACTTTCAAAGAGGCTTACAGTAGGATGTAGGCTGATCTAGTATTAGAATTTGATAGATAGAAGCGTGAAACTACCTTTTAATATAGGATAATATGTTGAATCAGAATGGTAAATTGCAGTTCTCTTATGTTTTATTTTGATTGCAGATTTTAATTTCATCATATATACTTCCTTTGAAAATGATGTTATTTCTTTCATGAAGATGTGGGCAGTAAATTTATGTTTGTGTTCATAGATGATTGGCTGTAATTTCATTGTCTTTAATGAAATCCTGTCTTTTTTCATTGTTTAGTGTCCTCCAATTTCTTTCATCTCTTTTTCTTTAAAAATGAAGACTGAAAACCTAATCTATTAGGACTAGCAAACTGTTGAATGGTAGTTGATTGGTTTCACTGATAGATTGATTACTGCTATTTATGTTATGCTTGGCTCATCTTATTAATAATACTTATGAAATTCATGAATTTTATCCATTGCTTGACCTGATAGTTTGTACCCCTCTAAAATTCTGTCCTGGTCCTATCTTGAGTCTTGTCCTTCCTTTTTCTAAGAAGTCAAAAGGTCCTAATTTGAGTTTTGGCTTCATAATGTAGGCATCTGTCTGAGTTGGCCTTGCTGTATTGTCAAAGAATTGGTAATTTCGCATTGTCCGAGATTGGCAAAGGATGCAAGTTCTTGCAAGCTTTACATTTGGTAGATTGTGCAAGTATTGGGGACGAAGCCATATGTTCTATAGCCAGAGGATGCTGCAACCTCAAAAGGCTCCACATCCGTCGATGTTATGAGGTGCTTTAATAATTTGTCACCCTCATTACTTGGGGATTTCTCTCTTGTTCTCTAGTGATGTCAAAGTTACAGGATATCTTTACATGCGGAGTGTTGCATATTACTGGAGGCCTATGCATTTTTTTTATCAGTAAAGATTCAAAGATATCATTAATTACCAGCACCGAGATGGTGCTGCACATGTACGCTAGGGATCCAGAAACATCAGCAGAACTTTTCTAATACATCAGCTGACAAAAGCAAGAGCATTCCTCCAGTTCTAGTGTTTTACTATGTACACAAATCAGATACTCTCTATACCTGAAGGCACTGAATTAATCTAAGAGACTAACCTCATCTGATATGAATCATTCTCCAAACATAAAACCTCATCCAACATGAATCCAACTTTACAACAATACGAGAGTAAAGACAAATAGTTGTATTTGATTTTGCTAACAGATTCTGCTTTATTCGTGAAGCACCTTAAGTTCCTTTCCTTCCATGTTGCCCCATCTAGTGCACGCTGGTACTGTAGTTCGTACGCTTTTCTGTTTCTTATTGATGCCTCTTCCATTCCTACTGAGTGGAAGCTCCCTGGTAGTTCTTGGCATTCTCCACATAAGCTTAGAGATGTGCAGGAACATTACTATAGTTGTGAGAGTAATATGCAATGTAGAAAAATGTGACAGTTGTCTTCCATCTATTTCTTACAAAGTTAGCACTTGCTGCACAAGTTTATCTTCTTTTTTTAACTAGCCTCATATGCTGCCACGTGAGTCAATCTTCCTTTAACATTTGAAATCTGCTTCCAAGGCCATCTCAGGTTATGTTCACTTCCTGCCCTTTAAGTCCCTTTAATTGAACACATCACTGTTATGTGCCTTCTCTGTAGACTATATTACCATAGCATTCAAGAGACCTGAGTAGTCCATGGGAGGCCTAACAGCACTCCTTGTTTCCCCTTTTTCATTCTTTCCGATCTATTGTTAGTGAAATCTGATTTGTGCTGTTTCCTTTGCACTTTATGCCCAAAACTCAATTGTTTTACTTGATAATACTGCTCTTTTCATTCTGATTTGAAGGTTGGAAATAAGGGAATTATAGCTGTTGGCGAGAACTGTAAATTTCTTACAGACCTTAGCCTCCGATTCTGCGATAGGTACATGATTTTCTCTTTCTCAACTAATATTGCCTTCTATTTTTTTTTGTTTCTCAATCATCAAGTCTCGGCTGATAAAATTGTCAGACAGTCTCTTCCTTGCTTGCATTACTTCCTTGTATTGTCCTTTAAATTTATACTTGAATGCTCTTTGAGATGAACGTTTATCTTTGCGTCTCTTTTCTTTTTTGATATGGGAATTGTTGTGCTCCTTGTGGCGCCAGATTTTTGATATGGGAATTGTTGTGCTCCTTGTGGCACCTCTGGTGCTGCAAGAGGTCGCTTGTCCATTTGAAGATGAAGATTGCCTAGGCACAATTTTCATCTGCTTCTTTAAAACTTCCTAGCCCATAGTCTGACGGAAAATGTTCTACACTGCGAGATCAACAAAAAATTGTGTCTAGATGGTTATTTGCTTTAGTAACTTCTCCTTTACGCGTATTGTTGATTGCTTATATTTTGCATAGCATATACTTTGAACTGCTTCTTTATCAAAGCTTGCTACTTAACTACCGTATTACTGGTAATTTGGCTCTAATAAGTCTTAGCCTCTATTTGATTACCAGAGTAGGGGATGAAGCACTTGTGGCTATTGGTGAAGGTTGCTCTCTGCATCATTTAAATGTCAGTGGCTGCCACCAAATTGGGGATGCTGGAATAATTGCCATAGCAAGAGGATGCCCTGAACTCAGTTACTTGGATGTGAGTGTACTCCAGGTGTGTCCACTTATACTTGCTCTTTTTATAGTGGGATACACATTGTATATGATGCATAGACGGTATGAATATGCTTAACATACCAAGGTTATTGGATAATTACATTAAGGTGATTACGTAACAACATTAAGTTATATTAGAACTACTTAGTGTAGGTAGAGCTTAAAATGGTTGCTTCCTCCTGAATCCACCGGTTAACAAGTGCATTAGGAACCCCATATTATAAAGTCCCATATGCAACACACACACACACGTATTGCTCCCATATACAAGATGTTTGATAGACCAAAAAATTGTACTTTTTATCTCTATTCCGCACTGAATACTAGCGCATCAATTTTTGACAGGATTTGGGCGATATGGCCATGGTGGAGCTAGGTGAAGGATGTCCCTTGCTGAGGGATATTGTGTTGTCTCACTGTCGTCAAATAACAGATGTAGGTTTAAGTTATATTGCTAATAGGTGTACCTTGTTGGAAACTAGCCACATGGTCTATTGCCCTGGTATCACCGCTGCTGGAGTAGCCACGGTGATTACGAGCTGCACAAATATAAAGAAAGTTCTTGTAGAGAAGTGGAAAGTGAGTCCAAGAACCAAAAGGAGAGCAGGATCCATCATCTCCTATCTCTGTGTTGATCTGTAGATCTCTGTACACGTGTTAGTGTAATCTATTCCTTGCAGCCTCCAATCGAAAGCAGCAAGGGTAAAACAGACTATCGTTGTGGATAGCCAGTTTAGAAAGAGGGGTGTCGTAGCTTGTGTTGCACTTTTCTTTTATCTGCTATGTTCTTTCAGTGTTTTGTTTTTTGTCCAAATCTCACAGTAATTTACTAGTAGATCGACTTCATTTTAGAAGGTGGGTGGGGTGTCTTGTAACCCTCCCGATGTGTAGGAATATGCTCGTTGATTGTCTTTATTGGGGAAAGATAGCAAATAGCCAGTTCTTTTACCATCAGTTGAAACTTTAGCCAGCATTTCAGAATTATTCAAAGTTAACTGCTTTTTAAGGCGGAAATAAAATTTGGACAAAAACTCTACCGAATGTTGGAGATCAAAATTTTTGAAAGAAAAATTTCAAGATGATGTCTGAGTTCAAATTCGAAAAATCTTTACATGTGAACGCTTTCGTCTATGTCATCAGTTTATATTACAGGAAGAAGGTGAGTATCTATGTATGTTCACCAATTGTATTCCTTGCCAAAACGGAAAAGGGTCATATTTGCCAGTTGACCCTAAAAATGTTCATATTTATCTTCAGTTATATCTTTTGGTCATATGTACTCGTATTTTTGGGGTCATATTTGTCCTCGTAATTATATGTTGTCCAAATGTACATTCTGTAAGACAAAGATATAAATAACGTATAGCGGTAAATTTGACAATTTTTGGTAAATACAAGGAATATTTTATTTTTTTCTTGGCTACAGGAAATATTCTCTCACTCTCGAACACATTTTTACACACAATTACTGAGATGACACTCGAAATTATTGAAATGACTACTCAAATGGTATAAGATAGTTAAACTTCAACTATAGAGAAGAAAAACAAGATTAATCTTGAAATGTATATTAATAATATTATAAGAGTCAGATTAAAAAGTAAAGTGTGCCACATAATTTGAAATGGAGCACGTACTTACATACTAATTCCTCTGTCCCCATTATTTATTTTATTTTCTAAAACTAATTATCTCAATTTATTTGTATTAATTTTTTTAATCTATTTAAAAATGAAATCTTTCTCTTTTTTTGATAATTTTTTAATTTTGACTTTCCAAAATCATGAAATTAAATAACATTTTAGTACATTCTTCCCATCTTTAATTTAAAATCAGAAAATTCAACATTTTATATACTTTTTAAAACTTCATGTCATGTCGTTGTTTGGTGTGAAGTATAAAATATAATAATAGCAAAATGCAAGATTACTTAATTTTGCGTTTGGTTGAAGATATTAAATAGTAGGTGAATTATTAATCCCACTATTCATATTATAGTGATATGATAAAACTAATGGCGGAATAGCTTATCTCGATAATTGATCGTGAGATAACTTGATGTTTCTAACCAAAGGAATGTTTAGTTTGATGGAGCTCCATTTCAGCGGGGCTTCTTTAACGCAACCCGACAGGACTCTATTTGGAAGACCCAAGAGAAGGCACTTCCCTTTTCCGCCCGAAAAATGTCAAAATTGATAGCATCGTCCTTCCTTGTATCTCTATTATTTCTACTTCAATTTTCTTCTCCAGTATTCTCTATCAGGAAGGATGTTAGTCTTCAAAGCACATCTACCTGTAGAACTACCGTTCAAGGAAGATATTTGATTGCCGATGATATGGGTCAAGTCTGTGATGCACTCTCCATTGATCCCCATTCTCGCTGCTGCCGTGGGAAATCAGAGCGATTCTCTTGTAATGGTTGCAATCTCGTTTTACAATGTTGCAATTCCTATGAATTTTGTGTTTCTTGCTGTTTGAATCCGTCCAGGACACAAAAGGATCTGGCTGTAATTGTGAAGATATCTAAGCCGATAACAGCAGGGATGTATTCGAGTATTTTTGATTTTTGTACGGGAAGATGTCGTCATAATTCGGAAAGTGTGGTTCATGAAAATGCTTATCTAAGTGAATTTCATCATTGTTTCTCTATACCGTCTAATTCTTCTTCTGGCGGTGCTTCTGGTGTACAAACTGAAGTGAGGTTGGCTGGTATAAATGTTGTGATAGGAAAACAAGGTGAATCGTGTGATTCGGTATGTAAATCAAGTGGTCAGTCTTGTGTTCCTAATAAATTTGTGTTGCTCAATCAGTGTGAAACGATGCATAAGTACTTGAGCTGTAAAGGTGGATGTTTGGCAAGTGTTGGAGCTGATCAGCCTGCTGAAGTAGTTGATGATGCTCCCAGAGATCTGAACCCTGGAGCCTGCTTGTACACCTCGCAAGCATCAGTGCTATCTTGTGATGGTTCGCATCAGCATACCAAGAGGCTGTGCCCCTGCGCATAGTGTGGTGAATTTCCCTCTTCCAGTTTTTTCAATTTATGTGTCTTACTGTTGTTTCAGTCTGTTTCGAAGACAATGTCTCTTTATATATTTAGTAATTCTTTAACTCCAACATCCAACACAATATATTTAAGACCACAAGGTTCAAAAGTATTAGTTAGTTTTTGATAATTTTGTACCAGTCAAACTAAGACACATATAATTCCGTAGGTTTATGAGAAATTAGTGAGGAATCTCCTTATAGATTGTTGGATTTCCTTGTCATTAGACTCAGAGTTTATCCATGACTAAGGTGAACTAAGGACGGTGTACTTACTGTTGCCCTCAGTTAAGTTTCTGAAGCTACAATTTCAGATGATTCTCTGCAAGGCGTTGGCTATTTACAGTTTCAAATATTTATGGACAAGTTAGTTGCTTATTCTAGTTTTCTTCCATATTTGGATTTATTTATTTTTACTTACCAGCAACTTATATATCTTAACATTTACAAGCTTGGGGATGATCGTAACTTCTACTTTCATGTAAGCTTTTGTAATGTACATCTACATTTGTGAGGCCCCCTCCTTCCTTCCATATTGTCCACCAAATGCATGTTGGAGTTGTAGTTCCAAGTTTGCGCCCCTTTCTGTTTCTTACTGATGCCTCTTCCATTCCAACTGAGTGGAAACTCCTGGAAGTCCTTTCTTTTAGGAGATTATTGAATGATTGGGAGGTAGTAAGAGTTACAGAGTTCTTCAAGGTGTTGGAGATCTTCAAGGGTACAACTGATGATGAAGATTTCATGTTTTGGAATAATTATGTAAGAAGGGATACACAGTTAATTCAGCATACAACATATTAAGCTCTACTGAGCAATAAAATACATGCTGGCCTTGCAAGAACATTTGGAGAGTCAAAGTTCCTTTCAAAGTGATATGTTTCTCCTGGTTGATGGTCAGAAAAGGTGCTTAACTTGTGGAAATCTGTAAAGAAGGGGAATCTAGTTAAGTTCAAGATGCTTCCTATGTCAAGAGAATGTAGAAAATAGTAGCCCTTTACTTTTGCACTGTGAAAGTGACTGGCAGTTGTGGCAGATCTTTTTGAGTATGACTGGCCTGAAATGGGTCATGCCATAGTCTGCACGTGGAGCTGTGCCGGAGCAATGTGGAGCGGGGGGGGGGGGGGGGGGGGGGGGGACGGAGAAAGAAAAGACTAAATTAGAATTGGCAGGGGCCGCGCGAACGCAGCCCCCCTCATCAACAAATTCTAGCAAGGATTGGTCCCATCAACCTTTAAAAAGTTCTCCAGACCTAAATGACAGCAATCAGACAATCAAAAAGCCTCCCAGTTCTTTCATCAACAGAGCACAAGTTGATAATATCTACTTCATCATAAGTTGTAGCGAATTTATAAAGGAAATTGAACGATTCAGACAACCAACTTTTCCAACTTGTAAGCAGCAGCTCCAGTTAATATTACAGGTACATGATCAGAGAATCTGGGGGGGGGGGGGGGGGAATAAAGGCAGAAGAAGTGATGGAAATCGATCCCAGCTTGTATATGGTAGATGTTTTGAAAACAGGAGCAGATCTATACAGAGAATTAAGATGTATTATATTCAGTCTTTGTATTTTTGGTGTAAAGCAAACTATGTAGAGAATACTGAATCATTACTAGAGTTTGTAGAATCATTGTAGCAATCTTGTAAACTTGTAAGCAGAACAAGTTTTTTTACTTATTTTAACTGTAAATATGGTGCCCAGCTTTTCCTTAATGCTGATGAGTACCATTTCTCAAATAAATAAAAAACTGGAAGTTCCTGGCGCTGTCCACTTCGGCTTAAAGAACATTACCATAGCTGTAGGGGTACTATTGCAGTGTAGAAAAATGTAACAGTTGTTTTCCATCTCTTTCTCTCAAAGGTAGCACCTGTTGCACAAGTTTATCTTTAGTTTTAACTAGTCGCATGTGCTGCCACTCAAGTCAATCAACATTGAGAGGAACATGTGAAATCTGCTTCCAAGTCCATCTCAAGCTATGTTTGATTCCTGCCTGTCAGATCCTTCAAAAAAAGTGTATATTTTTGGAGGTTCCGACACGGTGCGGCAGTATTTTTGGAGAGTTCGAGCAACATAGCCTGTAACAAGATTTAATAGAAAATATACCTTTCTGTTAGGTGTCGAAAAGACTATTTGTATCATCCTCCCTTCCTTGGCATACCTGCAATAACAAAAGAAAATTGTTCAACCTTATTTCCCAATCACTTAACTTTCTCCTCATACTTATTTGCCGTCCTGCTTCTGTGGAATGATGAAGATCTTGCTTCAGTGTCTTCCACTAGCTGGAGGAAGTCTGGCACCATTCCTTAAGTGGAGTATTCCCTATCCGTGTACTATTCCAGAAGGAAATTATTCTACCGTACCTTAAAGCTGATGCTTTATGAAAACTCTTGCCATTGACCTCTTATGCGCTTCCATACACCATATCCATGACGACCAGTTTCATGGAGGTGCTCCATTTGTTCCTTCAACAACAACAACATGCCCAGTGTGATCCCACAAGTGGGGTATGGGGAGGGTAGAGTGTATGCATACCTTACCCCAACCAGTTCCATTATTCCACGGTTTTATTTATTCATTCCTCCACAATGCTTCTTCCTCTCCTAAATATCTTCATGATATTTCTCCCTCTCCTGGATACCTCCACAACCATTTCATTAGTAAATTTTCATTTTGCAGCCTCAGATTTTTTTTTTATTTTTTTTGATAACCGAGAAATCCGTCTGTGACCCGCCTTTGGACCAATCACAGCCTTCTAAACTCGGTGGATAATGGGCCTGCCCCTCTACCCTTCTCCACTTAAATACCGGGCTTCGCTTTGCAAGGTGTGGGGCTTGAACCTGCGACCTGAGCCAGAAATCCTCCACCTTTTGCCACTTGAGCTAAGCCTTGGGGGCTTGCAGCCTCAGATTTTTTATGCCAAATTAACCCCCTTTTTTGTGTCCATGAAGACATTGTCTGTGCAAATCAAATGATATACCTTTCTTTCTTTGTTACCTTGTACCGTCTAATTTATCTGATCTTTTTCCCCACCTTCATCCTAATTCGGAAAATATCACACCACATATATAGGCAACGCGTCTACATTCTAATACACTTTTGACGAGCACCAGCCTTCCAACCAAAGAGACACTTGGTGGCTCTATTTTGGTAAGACTTTGTTATGGGTGCCATTCACAAAATTGGTATAATTTACCAAGTAGTGTTTTCCTCTTCTTTCTAAATGCTTGGAAACTGTTATTTTCTTGTTCAAAAAAATGTTTTCGTTTTTTCTCTTTTTTGAGTACAGGTGAATGGGGTGTATGATACAATTAACAAATATTACTCTAATATTACTCTGGAGATCACAATCTTATCTGGATTTCTTAACACCTTCCTCCCATAAATTAGAAATGCCATTCTCGTTTATCTGTGCGAGCTCAAGTTTTCAGCATCACTCCCTTGTTATTTATTCCCTCTAAATGTATTTTCTATGCCATTCTCTTCTTCTGAATAACAGACCTGCAACAGCTCCATATTGACCTTATAACTGGTATGATTAACTGAACACGTCGCTGTTATCCTCTCCTCTCTTTAGGTTGTTATCATAGCATTCAAGAGACTTGAGTTAGTCCATGTTTAGCATATTCTTTCCCCTATATTCCTTCTTTCCAATCAATAACAATATCATAACTGACTAGAAGTATTTTTTTGTGAAATGTGTTCTTCCTCGTCTCTGTCTCTGTCTGTCTGTCTCTCTCTCTCTGTTTAGAATCCTTAAGAATTTAGAGAGCTCTCGTTGACTGTTGGGTAACATTTGTAGAAAACCATATTCTTGTGTAGGTTCTCTCCTTTCTGGTATACGGCTTGTATATAGGAGTTTTTCCACAGTGATAAAATAGTTTACTTTATAAAAAAGAAGAAGCACTCATGTTGACTACTCTAAAAAACAAGATAAGTACTGACTGGACTGTAATTAAAGTGGAAGCTGACTTGATATTTCTTGGTGCTAGACATGATTTCTGAGTGGAAGATATAGAAGAAAACCGCGGAGGAATGAACCGGAAATAGGGGCTGATTTGTACATCGAGCATTTTTTTATTGGAAGTAGTAAACCAGGCTTCTGTTTCTTAACTATCTTTCAGAAGAAAATAGAAGCACTTGAATCAGAGAGAGAAACCCCAGCCGTACATACACAAAGAATAAAAGAGGATGATAGTTAAGAGATGATGAAGAATGCAGAAACAGTTTTACGGAGAAAGACTGAAAAGAAAGTAATATGAACATTTCAGATTTTTCTTAGTGGATGTCTTTGTTGCTCTGTAGATGTGTTTGTTGGTTTCAACTTTCAACTAGTTCTTGATGTTTTCGTTTTCTTTGAGATGGACAATTTTTATCAGTAATGTTCTTTCAAACATTTCAATGTTTATGCTTAATGAATTAAAAATTTCTGAGTTTGGAGTTGCAGATCATTTAAAAAAAAAAGGTTGCAGATCAAAGAATTGAAATTCAGGCTTTAGAGTTTAATCTAACATCTATCCTTTATATTTTGGGTTAATGATGTCGTTCAGTTATTTTACTGCTTGTAATTTCCCCATCAGATGGTGAATCTTTTAGACAGGCTTTATTGTGATAACCTTTTTTGGATAACCACTTCCGCTGTGGAATGGGGTTTCTTGAAGAGGCGGATACGATGTGGAAATCAGTTTTTCTTTCAGCAGCTGTTAATTGTCCCTAAATGATGTAATTTCTTTTGTTAGTGATATCTGGCTTGTGCTGTATCCATTGCACTTTATGTCCAAAAACTAAGTTGTTTTATTTGATTCTGCTAGTCTTTTCATCTAATTCAATAGCGTTTGAAATAAGGAAATTATAGCTTTTGGTATGAAGTTGACCGATCCCTGGAACCACATTTGTTATACGTATATGTGGATAGATAGATAGCAATTCTTCCTCTCGATGATGAGGGACGGACAGAGGATCTGCTATCATCGGAATATCCGCTTCAGAATGTGATATCGAGGTTCAGATTATTTGGAAAATAGGTCGATCTTAGGGGAGAACATTCGAATGGTTGAATTGATGACTTTGTTTAGATCTCTTCGACTGGAACCTAAAGGATACTTTGATGCTCTAAATATCTTACAGACCTCAGACTTTGATTCTTTTTGATAGGTACATAATTTTCTCTTTCTCACTAACATAACCTTATATTAAATTTGCTTTTCAATCATCAAGTTTTGTGCTGATAAAACTGTCAGACAGCCTCTTCCTTTCTTGCATTACTTTCTTCTTCTGTTGTTTTATAGATTTATATGTGAATTCTCTTTGAGATGTGTGCTCCTTTTGGAACCTCTGGTAGTGTAAGAGGTGGCTTGTTTATAAGAGGATGAAGATTGTCTAGGCATAATATTCATCTGCTGCTTTAATGCTCCTGTCCCCGACTCCAATGAAAAATGTTCTACACTGCAGCAAGAAAATATATGTAGTTGGTTCCTTGCTTTAACAATTTTTTTATTTCTTTCTTGGAGCAACTTTTCTTTTAATGTGTAATGTTGACGGCAGACTGTTATATCTGCCACGGCAGATACCTTGAACTGTTTTTTTATTTAAAGCTTGCTACTTAGGTACCGCTTTATTGGCTCTAAAGAAATCATTAAGCTCTATTTTATTTGCCAGAGTAGGGGATGATGAAGATTGCTCTCTGCATCATTTGAATGTCAGTGGCTGCCACCAAATTGGGGATGCCCTGAATCCAGTTGCTTGGATGTGAGTGTTCTCCAGGTATGTCCACTTATACTTGCTCTTCTACAGTCTGATAAACATTGCATTGATGCAAAGCCTGTGCGCGTATGCTTAACATATCTAAGTTTATTAGGCAATTACATAAATTGATTTAAGGTGAGTAGGTAACAACTTTAGTTTCATTACAACTATAGTACTTAATTGATATAAGCTTAAATTGGTTGATTCCTTACGAATACCAGCAGTTGATAAGTGGATCAGGAATCTTTATATAACACATCCTTTTAAAAGAATTGTGTTTTAATCTTCATTCAGCACTGAACACTACCTATATTTCGATAGGATTGGGGGATATGGCCTTGGTGGAACTAGGTGAAGGATGTCCCTTGATGATGGATACTGTGATGTTGCTCTGTCGTCAAATAACAAATGAGTTTAAGTTATTATGTGAACAAGTGTACCTTGTCGGAAACTTGCCACCCGGTCTATTTCCCTGATGTTAATGCTACTGGAATAGCCATGGTGATAGCGAGCTGCACAAATATAAACAAGGTTCTTGTAGAGAAGTGTGGAAAGTGAGTCCAAGGACCAAAAGGAGAGAAGGATCCATCATCATTCATCTCCTATTTCTGTATTGAACTGTACAGACTATTGTGTTGGATTGCCCGTTTAAGATGAAAATTTCTCCGCCGTAGAACAGTCCTAGTATTGTGTAGGTTCATACAATTTGACCCACTCATGAAGATGATGAATGTCAGCAACCTGGATTGTGGTAGTGGTGGTGGGACTACTTCACCCTTAACCACGGGTCTCACCCTGGGTAACCCCAAATGGGCTCTGCAGTGCGCAATTCGGATTTAGTCAGAGCTCCAATGCGGGCTCCGGACATTGGATGGAAAACCAAAAAAGAAGATAATGAATGTTTGAACGTAATCGTAGCTAAGTAATAGTGGTGTCATTAGAAGCACGCTTAGGCATGGGAAGGTAGCCCCATGCATTTTTATATTTCTATTACCTCATCAATACGTACCTCTTCCTCTCTCTTTTCAATTTAAAATAAAATAGATGAGCTGAGAACTTCCTTTTGAAAAAATGAAAACTTTACTAGAGTTTAAATAAAACAGAAACATGACTATATATATATAAACGAGAAGATAAAGGTTCAAAATTTTCTCTAGGAGTGACAAACATAAGTGGTGTATACATATATGCATTATCATAATATATCAACTCACCTTAAATTTTTCAAACTAAACTCTAAATAATTATTAACATTAAATAAATAAGACAAGTAAAAATAGTAGTCCTTTACTTCCGCCATATATTTTTTCAAACCTTTCCCCCCGCTCACACCACTTTAAGATTATACGAATTTAGAATTTAAACTCGATATATTAAGCATGACAATTCACCTATTTCCCGTCAACGTAAAAGTTTGAAACACAACAGTTCCGGCAGCTGGGAATTCATCAATGGTGCAACTCCGCCGTTTCATCCCTAGTGGCTCGACGGCTTTAACAATTCTGGTACAAATCTCGCTGCTGCTGCTCGAACACGTAGTGGACACTGACATCGTCCCCGGTCGGAAAACCTGAACCACCTTCTTCAAAATCCTACCAATGTCGTCCTCATCATAAATTGATCCCACACACTCATAACTGGCGTAACTAAAACCGTCTTCCGGCGTCACATGAATGGTAGAGTAACGATCTCCGTCAATCCCATTCATGGAGTATCCACAAGGATCAAAAGCAAATTCACAAATCAAAGCACTCGGAATGATTTCTCCGATTCCAGTCACCTCCGTCATCTGTTTTCCGGTTGTATCCGGATTTTTAAAAAACTTCCGGGCAAGTACCCGGTCGAGATCCGTCATACAAATTTCCACTGTATACCGATCGTTGGGAATTGGAATTGGGTAAAACTTATCACAAGCACAGAAAACATGCCATGAATGTGAAGTGAATTTCGAAGGCATAACAGAGGCTTTTCTGTAGCAAAGATGATTAGGTAATTGATCCTGCAAATAAGAGATTTCTTCTTTGAAACTTGTGTGTGGGTACGGTTGTGCTTTCGGGAAAATGTAATTTCCTCGAGTGTACCTACACTCTGTTATTATAAGTCCCATTTGGCACACGAAATGGATGAACGGACGGATCGATTTCAACAACTGGGTGGTTCCACAAGTTTTGATGATTATTTTGGTAGGATATACAAAGAGGCTTGATTCTGATAGTACATAAGAATCAAAATATTGATTCGAAACAGCTGACACTACTGTGCACTGCACAGCATGTAGTACTTGCTCCAAGGAATCAAAATCTAGTTGCCGGAAACCTCCCATTTCGATCACAGGATCGTCGCCAGAGAAGTGTAGCTCAAGTCTCTTCTCAAATCCTTCAAATCCAGAAGCAGCCATTGATGGAATTAAACTTCCAACCAACTAAAATTAATCCAAATGATTTTGGCTAGAAAACAGGGGATTGGTAGTGAATTTTTTTTTGTAGAAATGCTGCTATACTTTTTTTTTTTTTTGAGTAGGAAGTGAAGATGACAAAAACTGGAACAGGGAAGTAAGTATATATAGGTGAAGAAGATTGTGTGTGGGGGTGGGGGTGATTGAGATGGGGGCATGCACCACGATCAGACTGCTCCATCTTTAATTAGAGGTTTCGAGTTTGAGCCTTTGGTATGGAAAAAATCCTACTAGAAGATTCACTCCCATAATGGGCTCTACCGTGTATGATTTAAATTTAGTCGAAGCTTCAATGTGGACTCTGAATACGGAGTGAAAAAGAACAAGGAGAGATGGAGGGCATGGTGATGAGGCAACCAAGAATAATGATCTTAAGCCAAAAAAATGAATACAAGATGATGGTTATTTTTTGCGTGAGCGATCTTTTTTCAGACAACATGAATCCATATTTTTCTTGTTCCTCTCTCATATCTTGCGTTCAATTTTTTTCTTTTTGAAAGTACCTCATCTGTTGCCATGCAGTTCGCGTCGCAATTAAAAAATAATATATATTTTTTTTAGTGCTAAAACTTGAAATATTTGATTAAAGTGAAGAAATTTACTCATCCAGCAATAACCCTAAGTAACATTTTAATTCAATTTTATTACTTAGGTACATTTCCATCTCTCAACTTTTCCTTTCCCGACAAACTATTTGGTAATAAGGTTTTGATTAGATATTAGAAAAGATTTTGATTTTGATTGCTTTCTTAAAAAAAATACAAATACTTCATCTGGCGATGTGGTATGTAGTGGAATTTCACTAGATATGTTGTTGTATTTGTCGATGTGGAACAATTGGAATTTTTTTACATTCTGTGAATTTGGACACAAAAGCTTTAAGTTTCTTGAAATAGATTCTATATATTTGAAAATCACATAAAAAGTAATATATCACAACAATTAACAACTTAAATATATCTAAGTAAAGGCATATGTAAAAAAAATCCGCGTTAAAAGGTTTTAGTTGCCTCTCGAAATTTCAATCGTACTACATAAATTGAGACAGATAGTAATATTTTACTAAATATTATTATTTCATTCATCTCAACTTAGTTTTTGGCAATATTTTCTTTATAATTCATTCTAAAAAAAACGTTGATAACTTTCTAAATTTAAAAAGTAAAAACAAACTTTTCATATAACCCTTTACGAGAAGCTTATATAGCTAAAAAAATATTAAACAAACCTAAGATCACAAATTTTAAAAATCATATACTCGAAAAGTAGAAAGATCAATTACGATGGATCAACGTTCCACCTATAATTCAAACAATTTATATTAGAATAGGTTCATATACTATCTCACAATATTATAAATATAATCTTTCGGAGTACAATAGAAAGACAATTGTTCACAAGTCAAAATACCGCAACTGTTGTACTTCACCCGTGCATTAAAATGAAAATGACTAGTATAACATTATTAACTATTCTTTAAAGATAAATAATTTTTTTTAAACGTACATGATGATAGATATCTTCAAAAAGTAAAATTAGAGGGGATTTGGTTATATCTAACATATGGCAGTATAATAAATAAATATATTTGGATATGGTTGACAATTATAGAGAGACCAAGGTACACTCGTAAATCACGTGGTGTCTTAGAAGAAGAGGGACACAATTATAAACAAAAGTGCTTGAATACATGACAACAATTATTGGATATATTAAGCTATGCCAAGGCATGCAAAGCCTTATATATTAGATGTTCTCAGGTGGACACATGCAATTAGCTTGGGTTCGGAGAATTCAGTAGCTTATCTTTAGATGTTATATCTGTATTAGAAAATTAAATAAATATATATGTATATTAACTTGTGAAGCCCCTAATAAAATTAATTGACGGTTCAATGATAAAAAAGGGGTAATGTAAATATTTTCAACACTAGTATTCTGAATTCGAAACTATTTTCTCTTCTATTCTAAAATTTAGAACCCTCAATCCAGGCTCTGCCTCTAGTTACTCCTTTCATATTTAATATCTTCTTTTTGTAGTACTATCATTTACAATTTGTCTTTTCTTGGAAAAACATAATTAAAAAAATTGTTCTTTACCAATTCAATTTTTTTATATAATCAAATCATTTAAAAAATAACTATAAATAGTTATTGTATTACTAGAGTAATTTGCTATTTGCTTGTATTTTGTGATTTATAACTTACATCTTATCCTATATTAATTTACACCCTAATCTCTTTCCTTCATTATAAAACCATAAAAAGATGCTTTTTCTAACAATATACAAATTAAAGGGCATGGTGGGTGGCATATACCCATATAATAGTGACCACATCCAGCCACTATGTTGTGCATGCGCACCAACAAACCTCCCTTACAAGTCTCATACATCTCTACACGTATTACCCATCACCCACAACACACTATAATATATACTTATCTTCCACCAAAAAGTAAAGTATTAATTAAAGAAAGAAACTCCTCTATTTATTGTTTTATAATTATACTAAATTTAATTAAAGACAGTGTAGGTTTTTTTTAAAATTTAAATGGAGATGTCTGTTAGCCTTTGTGCAGAGATGTGAGAGGTTGGTCATTGATGATTTTAGGAGAAGTAGAGATAGATCAAACTTGGGAGAGGTAATTAGATATACACTTTCTGCTTATCAAGGACATGATTTTAGATAGAATGTTGTAGAGAACAGATTATAGTAGAATGTTGTAAATAGAATGTGTTATGTCTTGTTATTAGTCCATATTGATTATATTACTTCGGTAGTTTCTTGTCTGTCAATTTATGTTATGTGTTGTTGCTTGTAATTTGGCTATCATTACCTCCATTGCTTTTTTCTTTTGGACTTCTTTTGATAAAAAAATTTAAGCCAATAATTTATCAAAAATAGTCTCTGTACGTTATTGTTATTCTAGTATATAGGTTCTTTTTAGGTACATATATACCTGAGTGGAAAAAATAAATCCGACACGGATTGTGCATTGTACCACGTAAACGAGACATCATCTTGACTCTAGTATATGTGTGTCGACACACTACATAGCTAGCCCACCAATGGCCATATATAGGGAACCTTTAATACTACAAAGTGCATGTTTGTTTGACCATAATCGGAGGTGAAATTAGAATTTTTATTTTATAAATTCTAAATTTTATAATGGCAATTTTAAATATTCGTCCAATAATAGTTGTTCATTATACTATTTTGAGATGTCTAAAAATTTAATATTATTTGAGTAAAAGTTATTAAGTTCGATCAAATT